AACGATAGATAGATAGATAGATAGATAGATAGATAGATAGATAGATAGATAGATAGATAGATAGATAGATAGATAGATAGATAGATAGATAGATAAGAAAGAAGGATCAAACCACTCCAGAGCACCCGCCGAGGGATGAGAAGGAAAATCTGTGGCGGTTAAAAAAAAAGTCACCGTATTCATGACCACGTCCTTATTTAAAGGCCACATTACTAATTTGTCGCTTTTAAGCACAAGGGCTATCCCGAAAAATGCTGCTTTGAGAAAATCGAAGGTAAAGTTTTTGCACTTTGTTCAGTTTCGTAAAAAGACAAGGAGATTTTTCTCTACAACCAAACAAATATACACACCAATGAAACCAAACTTCTCCTATACTATAGGTAGGGCAATGCCCACTTTTGGTGTAGGTCAAGATTTCTGGAACCCCCCGAAATCTGGGTTAGCCCGCTTGTCCTTAAAAGCGACCAGTTGTGTTGACCATTATAGCCCTTATTCCTAGTGTTAACCCTTTCAAGAGAGGAACAAAATAGAAGCCCACAACAACAACCACAACAACGCAACGCAAATAAGTGAGAGAAAAAAACCCACCCAAGAGCATCTCGGGTTTGAACCCCAATTCTGCAAGTAACGGTGACTTCTGATTTTGGTCTTTCACAAGCGTTACAAAGGCCAAAAATTAAATGCACGAAAAGTGTATACATTATGGTAATGATGCTTGGCCTCGTTTATCATGATAGTACACCCCCCAACTTTTCGAAATATATATATACACACACTCAAACAAACACATACACACACTCAAATAAACACACACACATTCACTCACTCAAACAAGCACATACACTTATATACGCACACTCAACCAAAAACAAACACATACTCAGATTGAAACAAATATATGATAGATATACCCACAAAGACACACACAAACTAGATCTAATACAATCATTTACACTTACAAACTCTCAAATAAATACGTAGGCTACATAATATACACATGCACTCAAACAAAAACATGGGCCACATTTACACGTACACACACTCAAACAAAAACATGGGCCACATTTACACATACACACACTCAAACAAAAACATGGGCCACACTTACACATACACACACTCAAACAAAAACATGGGCCACATTTACACATACACACACTCAAACAAAAACATGGGCTACATTTACACATACACACACTCAAACAAAAACATGGGCCACATTTACACTTACACACACTCAAACAAAAACACGGGCCACATTTACACATACACACACTCAAACAACAATAACAACAACAACAACAACAACGAAAACAACAGCAGTAACAGCGAACATTTAGACCATTATCATTTTCACCAATAACAAAAACAACTACAACAACAGCACCAAACTTAACTTAGACCATTATCATTACCACCACCACCACCACCACCACCAACAACAACAACAGCAAACATTTAGACATTTTAATCATTATCACCAATAACAACAACAACAACAGCAACAACAGCAACAACAACAACAACAACAGCAACAACAACAACAGCAACAACAACAACCATTGTTCCCTCAGGTGAATGGAACAACTCCCCGGCCTTTTTGAGGTCCACCCCCTGCACGCCCCCGGGCACCCCGCCCCCTGACGTCACAGCGGAGCTGACAGGGAAACTCTTACAGAAGAAAGAACAAGAGACGGGGATAGATAGAAGAGGTACTGGGAGAGAGAGAGACGGAGAGAGAGAGAGAGAAAGAGAGAGAGAGAGAGAGAGATAGAGAGACCAGGAACTCGGATATAGTAATAATAATAAATAAATAGCATTTGTATAGCGCATGTCCCCACTCGAAAGCAAGCTCTATGCGTTTTACACTATATTAGTACCCCAGCAGACCATAGAACACTCAGAAACATTCTCAACTGCCCGGAAAGCATAATACAATACAAGCAACCGGTTAAGCGCTCAAACTCTTAACAAACTGACAAGATCTTTCACTGTCTATAGCTGGGTACCCATTCCCACCTGGGTGAAGTGGGGAAAATTCGTGTAAAATGCCTTTCCCAAGGACACAACGTCGGGCCCGCTGCTCGAAACCCCGAACCCACAACCTGGCGATTACGAGTCCGATAGCCTAACCACTAGGTCCATAGATCTGTCGCCGAAATACTCAGTACAACAGTATCAGCTTAGAAAATTAATGTGCCAAATGCAAGAAGCCAGTCCGATAGAGATAAGGAACAGAAAATATTTCCCTTCGGAGATCTTCATAATGTGGTGAACACATTGGCTAGAGACGTGCCCACTATCTAGGATAATATGCAAGCACAAAGAGGACTCGATGGATCCTAATCTTATTGTTGGAACTATGTTGTGTACCGCTCCCATAATATATTCTTGTAAGCAATGGAGGAAAAGAGAGAAAAAAGGGGTTGGGGGTCGGGGAGCAAAGAGGGGAGAGGGGAAAAGGGAACCAGAGGGAGAAAAAGGGTGAGC